AAAAATATTTTATACACACCCCTACAATAAATTACCAGGATTTTTTTTTTTTAAAACAAAAAATCTTTTTTTTTTTTTTTTTTTTTTTTTTTTTTTTTTTAATTTTATTTAACTTTTATTAATTTATGTATAGTCAACAAAAAAAAAAAATAAACTATAATGATCATAATTTATTTTTATGCGATTTAAAACGTGATATATTAATATTTTGTATTTTTGCCCTTAGCCTTAATAATTGCTTTAACATGTCAAGGCAAGCTTAAAATTAAGTGCCGTACCGTTTCAATACTTATTTTTTCTCATTCCTCTTGTACAATACAAATAAATTCTTGTCTAGATACGGGTAAAGATTTTCTTTTTCGGATCTGATGATCCAAATGGTCCCACAAATTCTCAATTGAATTAAGGTCGGGACTTTGAGCAACCCAATCCAAGACTTGAATCGCATGTGATTCGAGCCACCAAGCCGTATATTGAGTGGTGTGACAACTGGCACTGTCTTGTTGAAATATGGTGCCTAGACTATTACGAACCCAAGGTATAAAGTTGGTGGCTAAAACGTTTACGTAAGCCTCCGAATTCATTGTTTGATCCATGAGTACTAAGGGGCCAACACCATTCCACGAGAAACAGTCCCAAAACATAGCTGATCCCCTGCCAAATTTTACAGTAGGCTTAATACAGTCTATATTGTATTCTTCTCCAACCCTGCGCCAGACTCGTACTCGTCCGTCAGACTCAAATAAGGCGAATCGTGATTCGTCAGACCATACAATTTGTTTCCATTCTTCGTTCCAGTCACGTTTGGTTCTGCACCAATTAAGTCAAGCTAAACGTTGTTTATTTGATAAAAGAGGCTTTTTCGTGCTATGCAACTCCCTAGTTCCATTTCGTGTAAGTAGTTTCGAATAGTATTTGCATGAAATGTTGAGGTGAGGTGAATGTTTATGTCATTCGAAATGTTGCCTAGGGGCGCGAAACGATCTTTTTGAACATAACGTCACACTATCCGCTGATCACGGTCAGAAAGAGATTTTGGTCATCCAGGATGTGTATTAGAGTAAGGGGAACTATTTTTTTTATAGTGATTTATTGTGTTATAAATGATTGAGGAAGGTATACCAAGTTGAGAGGAAATAATTTTGCCTTTTGTATCTAAAAGATGTGCACCAATTATTTGTTCACGTTGTTGGGGCTTAGCTCGGAACCCCGCATTTTTAGTACAACAGAAAACTGTGAAATAAAGAGAGTAACACGAAAAAACATTTTTGGGTACACAACAAAAATTAAGAAAGAAAAACGATTTAAAAAAATTTTTTTTATCGCGATCAACCAATTACAATAATCCATCCCGGTAATTTACCGTAGGGGGGTGTATAATTGCTTTTTGCTTTGCTAATATTATTAATTTTTTAAATATTGTTTTTATATATTTTTATAAGTTTTTTTTTTAAATATTTTATTTTAAATTTTTATTAATATTTAAATTATAAATTTTTTTTTTATATTATTTCAAATATTTTTTATTATTTTTAAACTATTTTTACTTTATGTTTGAAATTATTATTATGTTGAAATATAATATTTTTAGAAGTTAAATTAAATATTTTTAAAAGTTAAATTATAAAATAAAAAGTATTACAATATATAATATTTTTATTAAATAATCAATTATTATTTATTATCTTACAGTATTCTTTTTATAGATTTGAATTACTTTTAACACCTATTTAATTCAATTATATTAACTAATATTAAGTAAATATACTAGTATATTAGATAAAATTAAAAGTTCTACCTATAGTTTGAACTATTTAACTTGAGTAATTTAATTATATTAAGATTTAATATTAAATTTTATGTTTTAAATCAAGTCTTAATTTTTTTAAATATATATTAGTTTTAAACAAATCTTCTTATAATATTTTATTTTCAACCTATATATCATAATAAAAGAAATTATAATGAGAAATATATTTTTTAATAAATGCTTCAAGAGCATTGTTCTTTGATTGATTACTGCTATCAAATCTAAAAGCTATAATGATTAAATAGAATATAGTTTTTTAATCTTTTAGTAGATATCTTTAAAAGCTCTTAATTAATTTAAACTATCAAATCTAGAATATAAATGTCAAGCAAGATACAATACTTATATACAATACTATTTGAGTATTCTTTCTTCTACTTTATACTATTAAGGATTTCTTCAAGAATGGTATGTGTTGTATTAACATGTTATATAATAGAGTTTGTTATGCCAAAAAAGAATATAAGCTTATAATAAAAGTTAAATCAGAAGTTTTTCTTATGTAACCTTTTCTGCTTTGATTTGTTTTTAGCTTGGGATTGTCAGAAAAACCAGAAATTCTATTTTTATGTAATCTAACTTGTTATAAAATAGAGATTGATATTTAAGTATAAAATATATAGAAAAACTAGTAAATCTATTATAAAGAATAAAATTTTTACAATTAGTCTTCTATAGATATTGAATTAGGAACATGTATTTGAAAACCTGAAAGCACTACCTATTGTATTATGGACCCACAGATTTAAATTAATTCTTTTTTTAAAATTTATTTATAAAACTTAATATTAAGATTTTTATTTATCTTTAATAAATATTACATATTACTGTATAATAAGTTAATATCTCCATATAATAATATTATTTTTACTAAATTTAGTTATAGGAATTATATGTTGATTCTTTAAAGACTTTATAGATTTTTTTTAGCAATATTTATATTCTTTAGCTTCAAAAAATTAAAATTGAATTTTATTAGATCAAATTATTATATTTCAATCTTTTATAATTCAATTTTTATATATATTTGCAAATTCTAATTAGATTTTTTTATGTTCTTTACTTAAAAAAATTTTTTGTACCATATATGTTTTAAATTTATTTTTCTTAAGATTTTCTTAAATTATATTGATATTAATAATTTTTTTTTCATATTTTATTAAGAATCTATATTTATTTATGGCTATTTTGTTTCTTTTTTTAGAATTTTTCAGGTAATGTATAATCTCACATAAAGTAAATTTAGATGAATGGCCAGAAATAGGCTTATTTTTTAATTTATTTATTTCTAAATATTTTTATAAGTATATATATGGTGAAATAATAAATGTTATTATCAATTTGCCACATAAACTATAATATTTTTTCTAATAAGATAATAACTCTTGATCTCTTCTCTATATATAGTTGTCTTGAAAACATTTGATTTATATGAAGCTTGAATAGATTTTTACACTTTTATATTTTTACAAAAAAATATCAAAAGGCACATAACGGTAATTTTTATTATTTTAATCACTATTACACTGTATATACTATTAATTTTGCCATGGTTTTGATCAAAGTTTAAGTGATCAAAAAACTACCATTAAGTATTGCGTTCTTTTTGGAAGACGGTGTATAATAATATCAATCTTGTACTAGCTTCACTAACTTCATAATCATTTGTGGATCAATGAGATAACCAGTTAAGCGATCCAAGATTTATCAGCATTAATCTTCAATCACACAAGAATATATACTATTAGTAATAAAGAAATACCAATACCCAATTAAGTTTACTGTCACATTAAAAAATCGTTCTCGCATCTTCTTCACTTTACGTGAAATAAAAGATGATCGAAATGTAGTCCTATAAAAAGATGCATTTTTTCTACTGTTCACCCTTCTACAAAGGCATGAATGCATCCATTCATTGTTTTGGAGAATATCCATTTTACCGCTATTTTATTTTTTGTCGTTGCGAAGAAGATTCCCGAAAATATTCATTTGTGTTTAGGATTCATCACCATGTGGTTCTTGTGGAACATAAAATGAAAAAATGCCATTGAAATGACTCGTAAAACCAAGATTAACACTACCATCGCTAAACAAATTGGCAAGATCAAATCCGAAATAAATTCTCGTGATGCTAACTATGCAACGGAGGCACAGAATATCATTAAAATAATAATAATAATTTTAGTCAAATTGTACTGGTTTCAGAGAGAAATCGATCAACGATACTTCCTTGTGAATAGATAACAGCCATTTACATCACTACTGAGTAGCAGGGAAGAATATATGGATTGGGGCTCGGCAAATTCCTCCCTTGATACATCCTGCTACTTTATTTATTAGCTTAGCTGACTGAACTTTTTACATTAATAATCTATTTACGAAAATCATACATGTGTATGCGATTTTCACATATTATTTAGCAGACATATTTTTTTATTCATAATAAGAACACAGATCAACTGAATATAACTAAAACTTTATGCTATTTGTTTTATCTATCTGTTTCATCCATCAAATTTTCTCGTCTTTGTCTAGAAATAAAAATTCCTACGTTATAATGCATTTATTACCAACTTATTGTGTAAAGATACAAACCTAAGACTATCCACTAGCTCCTTAATGGACGGTCCAAAAACATGCTCCATATTACGATCATCAACAATAATTACAAGATCCCCATATTCATTGAACCGAAACAATTCTGGTCTTTTACTACGTCTATGAGGAAGTTCCACTGAAACATAAATATGTTTTTGATTCTCAGTTGAGGTTTTGATTTTTTCATTATTCTTTGCACGCTCAGAAACCTTAGATATCTGGTATTTCTTGACATTTTTAGTATAATTCAAATTATAATCTACATCATCAAAGTTTAAATCTTGTCCATATTCCTCCTCTTCTAAGTCAGCCTCATCCTTTTCTGAGTCATTATCATTGGCTGTGGTATCATCGGGAATTACACCAAGACCTGTTTGGAGACGTGTTCTTTTTTTCCAAGGAGAAAATTCCACAGTTTCAGAATTTTTTCTCCTTGGGTATTTCATATACTGAAATTTCAAACATGACTTTATTAACTGCCTTTTAACCTTGTCTCGCTCAATAGGACTTCCGGAAACTGTACAGCTTGCTGATAACAGTACTACATTTTGCTTATCATTCACAAGAGAAATTACCAAGTCCGACCCTGTATAGGTGTCTGGTTGGATTGCATAATAATAATAGATTTTATCTTCAACATATTTGGCTATAGGGATTGCTCTTGATAGATTTGAAATTGTTACAAATTTCATCGTGGAAGTGATCCATGAAGGAAGATCAAATTGTTGATCATTTTTCCACCTGTTAAGTTTCTCTCGCACATTAAGCTCACGTTTTTGAATGATTGCTGTAATAAAGATTGAATCGAATTCATTACCAATTGATGGAATTCCATCGAGCCTGATAATTTCATCAATAAAAACTTCTACCAAAGTTTTTCTTCTTGTGTTTTTAAGAAAAAGTTCTATGCTAAAGATGAGGTAAAATTCAAGTGATGTGTTGATTTCAATTATATCAGGAGTATGTTCACTAGATCTAAGAGTAATACATTCTGATGACTTGCAAGGAATGATGCTGTGGTGAAGAAGCTTTATGGCTGATTCGTACTTTTGATTGTAAAAAACACGAAGCCTAAGAATATCTATAATTGCTCTATTTGGATTGAGATTATTAGCATCCAAATATTTATACGTATTTTCCAAATATTCTGCCATGTCCATTCGAATCATTTTATACCACTTCTCAAGAAGTTCAATAATTTCTTGGTTTTTTTGATCTTTCGTTCTATTAACTAAAATCTGCTTTGATATCAACAGCCCAACAAATGATGTACAATTCCAAGGTCGTTCCTTGAAAAAATAACCCAAGAAGTTAAGAATTTTGGGTGAAACATCTGTTAGGTCAATTACAGCATTGAGATTCCGCAGGACATCATTATGTGAAAGGAAGAGAAGCTTTAGCACAATATGGTCCTTCAAACCTCATTTTTTTCCAACACTAATAACAAGAAAGATTCCGCTTGACATATGCATGTAAGTACCAGCAAGAAGACAGGTAACGGGAAGATGGGTAAGATGTTCAATATAAGCCTGCAAGAGATTCCATTTTTTGTTTAGAACTGAGCTCCCTATGTATTCACCATATTCAGATCTACATAGGACTTGCGCCTCATCAAATATTAAGGTTAGAGACTCTATATTGAGACAAGCATTGATACTTTCAATAAGTACATCAACTTTAAAAACATTATAATTTTCATGAGCCAATTTCATTCGGATCTTAGAGTCGTTCATTCGAAGCTGTGCAAACAACCATTCTTTTGGCGTCGAAATATTTTTCTTGATGAGCATCTTTATAAGTAAAATTCCATATGAGAGTATTACCCAGTTCAACATATGAAATACATGACTTTGCTGATCATGCTGTTCAAACTTTGGTTGTTTATGTTTGATTATTCCAAGTTCTTTCCCTACATGGTTGCCATACGTTCCTGCACTAGGAAAAAAATCAATATATATTGACCAACGTTGTATAGCTATTCCAAACATTGTCGTTGTTTTTTCACCACCCGAAACTTTGGCAAGCACGATTAAGTCTCCAATATTATTTTCGATCTTTTCTTTCACAAAAGAAACTGCTTCTTTAAATTGCGGATCATTATAAAAGGGATTATGATAATTCACTGTTCCAGATTCATAAGAAGGAAACACAGATCAACTGTTGTGAGAGTTTGTTTGGTTATACCTCGGGGTAATCGTGCTTTGAAAAAAGAGGACTCCACCTTCAGTTTAACATACAGGTCATTTTGTGGGCCTGGAGAGTCACTTTTCTCTATCTTAATGTCCCAGATCAAGGGGAGCGCATAAACAAGCTGGTCAATTGAAAATTTATCTACGTTTGGGAATGTCTTTATAACTAAAAAATAAGAGTAAACGTGAGCGAAAACTCATTTAAAAGAACCAAACTTCTAGTGCAACGAACCTTTGTTTTTGATTTCAATTTTAACTTCGTCAGAAGGAATATATATCGACGAAACTAATGCAGTGAAATAAAAAGAAATAAAACACTTGAGACCCGGCTGATATTGTCGATCGCAGACTTAAGTTATGAAAAGATATCGAGTGATAAAGACACTTACCAGTGGTGGCAGGCAGTGGTGGCTGGACGATGATATGGATATTACTAGTGGTTTCATGAAAATAGTCTCCAACAGTTTTGAATGGAGATAACATTATACCTTGGTATTGTTCTTTGATATTTTCAGCGTATATTTTGGTTTTCAGATCTTTATCTTTGACAGGAATATCCACACTCCATAGCTTCAGTTCATTTGCGATTATATGGTTTAAACCAGGCTCCTTCTTCTTTTTAATGATTTCCTTGAGATGCCCAATAGTCGTGCCTTCTTTAACATCAACTGGGAAAGAATTATTAATGGCATTACCTAAAACAATGCAAAAAATCTGGAAATTTATTAAAAATTACTTATAAAATTATATAATTTGTAGAATTTTAAATACTATAATTTCTCCGGTATTAGATAATATTATATATATAAGTTATAAAGTTCCAAAAATGATTAGTGTTTAAGATAAAAGAAAATGTTTCAGTCCACGGCACGTAATCAGATGTATTTATCATTTTTCTGTGTGATTAGTGATATTGGTAAATATATAAGGCTTGGGCTGTACGTTTATGTAATCCGACTTACTGAAAAAGCTATGTATAAGGAGACTAATAGAAATATCGAATTTATGTGCATTTCGCAAGCAGAAAAAATAAAAAGCATTCTTATCATATTACAGTCTGAAGGAAAATACAGCATACTAAAAATTCCGCAATTCAAGCTATTTTACATTCGTAATCAAATGATGTACAGTAATAATATCACGTATTTTTTTTTTTGGTGCTTACCACTTCTGTTAACAGGGTAACCATGGATCAGACCCTCTGTAAAGCATAAACCTTACTTTTACAAATGAAAAATTATTGGTATAACAGACACCATATGTATTTGAATGAACATTTTGGTGGGTTTTGAGAACCTTGACCTCTTGTTCGAATTTTATTGCTGGTTCCTTTTCTTGTCACCCACGCTTCTTTCTTTTTTTCTACTAATGCGATTTGAGCTGGAATTCTAATGGCTTTGATTACCTAAATTGTATATCCAATTTTTTTCACATACTGATTTGTTAAAAAATTTTCTTTTCCTCACAATATAGTAGTTTAGCCAATAACATTTCATAAAAAAATACTATATAAGTCACTATGTTTATCACTTAACTCAATACATCCGCACATGCGTTCGCTGTTGATATTGATGGTAACAAGTTAGTTAGTCACCTCAAGAATGCAATCAAGGCAAAAAAGTCACCAGAGTTTGATGGTTTTCCTGCAGGTAATTTCAAGTTATGGAAGGTGAAAATTTCTGATCAGGATTTATAGTATTTAGCTTTTATATTCTAATTTGTGTTTCTAATCTAGAAGATTAATAATTATAAAGATATAATAATATTTTTATATTATTAATACTTAATAAATAGAATCTAGTTCTTTTTTCATAAATATTAGTTGTATCTAGTAAAGTGAATCTTTTATTTATAAGTGCTTTTAATAATACTTGTAAGTTTTCAATTATTGTTTTTCAATATTTACTTTGTATCCAATTATAAATTTTTGCTTCAATATTAATATTTGTATTAGAATTATATAAATTTTAAATTGGAACTAAAAAAATCTACTTATAATTTTACTTTTTATAATATTTGTTCTTTCCATATTATTAAAAGTGACAACACCTAAAGGTTCAACTGTTTTTTTTTTTGAAGGAACAGGCGGTCCTTACACACTATTTTTATTTATAATTTTAGACTTGCGAATTACAAGATTT